GATCGCTGGAAGAGCAATGGTGGAGCCCAGGGCCGGGATCAATGGCGCCATCAGAGAGGCGTTGCGAGGAAATAGTGTTGTTGATCATGCTGTTGAAACTGGCAGATGAATAGCGGAAAAGGCGAAGAGTAAGGAGGCAAGTTTGAATATTGCACGAATGCCCAGTATTGATGGTTACTTTCAATGATGAGAAGACTTTGGATTAGCAGAGATTGGATAGATTTCCGTTTCCGATTCCACGTAGCCGCGAGACGTTTGGTGTTGAATCAGTCACGTACGATGTTCCAGATATTCCGTGCCGGTGTAAGCCACTCAGACTTGGATGCGCAGGGAGGTGGCTACATGCAATTGGTCTAGTGACGTCTTTGTGACCGTGCTGTCTTTTCGGATATGTATAAAGCAAGTATGAAGTGTTTGCACCGTCATCGAGGTTGAGTCACTAAAACGAAGAAGGCGGCACATTGCGCAACTGGAGATACTTCCATTGAGGAATGCTAGGCAACTACTCACCAACATCTGAGGAATCTGATCTTTGCAGTTTGAGACCGCTAGTAGCCTTGTCAATCTTAAATTTACCTTCACATGTGCTTGAACACTTCAATGTCCCAAACGTAGTCTGACATTGGTGGATGTCGGCTTCATTTGTGCGACTAGTGTAGGAGGCTAAGACATCAAAAGGCCTTAAACAAGATACCCCGAACTTCCCTTCTAGGGAATAGTATACCTGCCCACCCTGATTGACCGCTTATATTTAGTCCCACGCATGCCCAACCACGTCAATTCGACTTATCATGGATATTAAAAACATTAAATCACAAAGGGAAAAGCCAGTGCATCGCCTGAGCTTGACCCCAGAGAGGAATGGTCTTCTCGGACCGCAACACTATTTGGGACTTTCAATTCCCAAGCATCCCTCTGAGCTCTTAGTGGACATTACAACCTCTGGGCCAATATGGCGCGGGGCTTCGTTCAAAGTCCTGCTATAAACGTTATATCTTCTGCTTAGCCAGTAATATACAAAGCGTATCCTCGAGTCTCCGAAGTATCCGCGTTTCTCCTCTCTCGTTCCTCGCTATCCTCAGCGGTGAGCCTGTCCTGCGAATGTGGTGTAAGGAGTGGCTCTTCAGGCGTCGTTCCTCGTTATCCTCAGCGGTGAGCCTGTCCTGCGAATGTGGTGTAAGGAGTGGCTCTTCAGGCGTCGTTCCTCGTCAACACACTGCTAGAACCAAACCGCAAGCTCAGCTTCTCAAGATAGTACAGCCTATTCAGAGCGCCCAGCGGAACAGTATTCTTCAAAAGACACAGCAATTTGTCACTCTTAACCTGGCGGCTGGAAGCCAAGCATAGGCATAAGCCCCCGTGGTACGCATGGTTGCGCAATTGTGTGAGCTTGCGTTTCTTTGAGACCGCACGGCAGCCTCTTGTTCATTCGCGACGTATTCGAACATATGATTTATAAACAGATGAGATGGCGGATGGAGCCCAAGGGGTTAGACCTGGAGGTTCTGGCAACGTCTCTTCTCCCAAGCCCATGGGCTTATGGATTTGGCAGCCATAGGTCATAACGAACGAGATGGCAAGTCCTACACAATTTTGCGGTGGCAGAGATAGTCGCGAAGGCAGCGTACTTATAACATTTCAATCCTAGCAAACGTCGAGATTGTATCAACATCGTATGGCAATGGGAGAGGTTCTTGGTATTAATGTCGTTCCTGAATTAACGGATTGAAACAAACAGGACAGCGCGTAGTTGTCCGGGTATAGTATTATTCAACTCCATGTCTGGGGATCCCCTTTCCCCAATCGATAGCACCTTGCTTCCATCGTGTGTGCTCAACCGCAGCAAACCGTAGCCTCCTTGGCGGCAGAGGTTGGTCCGTCATAGAGCGTCTCCCACTGGAAGATGAAAGAGCCGATGTAGGAGCCGAGGAAGATGCAGATGATGATGTATCCGTTGTAGTACATGGCGAGGCTAAGGGAAGAGTCAGTGATGCCGGAAGATAGAGTGATATCGGGGAACAAGCTTACAGCATGATAAAGTAGGCAACAGCGAACTGAACCATGTGCAGGAGAGCTCGGATGGCCTGCTGGAGAATGTTGGGTCGAAAGGGAGGGATGCCGGTCCCGTTGGCGGCAGCAACAGTGGTGGATGGGCCTTTGGTGTGGTCACCGGCGTTCTCGGAGCTGGGAACGCTGGAGCCAGCGTCGGCCCAGCGAGCCTGGTGGTTGCGGATCAGGTATCTGTCGTACTCCTTGACGGCGCGGCGGAGCATCTCGAGGGACATCGTGAGGAGAAGGACTCCAATGCAAGATCCGGCAAACATTCCGTTGGAGGTGATCTTCCATGAGGAAGCAATGTAGCAACTCCCTGTGATAGCATGTTAGCAAAATTTTGCGATAATTTTGGCTAGAGAGATTTTTTTTCACCTATCGTGTTCCAGTTCCACAGCATCTTTTTAAATAAGTTAGTCGTCGATGTTTTGGGCGTGTGATATTCCATTTCCGAGTTGACAATGTTGGTGATGATGCTGAGTGGAGACGGTGACTTACAGAAATCTTGCAACCGCTGCTTCCCATGCCAGACATGGCAGCTTTGGTGCTAGTTGCAGCTGCCATACCCGTCATGGTGCCAGTGGCAGTCATGGCGGTTGTGCTGGTGGCCATACTCATGCCGTCCATCTTGATGTTCTATCGACTCGGTGGTCGTGGAAGGTTGGATCAATGTTGGATTGTTGTTGAGATACTCGAATATCAGAGATGAACGTCCAAAAAGCGGAGACTTTGATCTCGGATCGATACTAGCAGGGTATGCCTTGTTGCAGTCGGATCGATGTGATAGAGAGCCGGAGAAGAAAAGAGAACAGGTCTTAAAATGGCGGATCGAAGAGAGTTTAAATGGACGCAGACCACAAGGTGCATAGGGGATCATCAAGCCTCTTTCCTAAGACCGATGAAGGGACAGAGACAGACTTCGTACGTCCCCACATGCGCTGGATTCCTTCCCGAAAGACATCAAGGATCCAAGGGTGCAGGTCTTGGCAAGAGCATGTAAGATTCGGTGGGTAGGGGAGGTACGGGGGCAGCCTGGGACTGGGATTGAGATCGCGGCCACCACCGGTGTAAACGGAACCATGCGATTGACTCAAGGGACTGGCTGGCTGCTATCAGATGAGAGGCTCCACACCCAAGTTTAGCCAAAGTTGGGGGCAAGAAAAAAACGATGGCCTCGGAATGGACGAATCAAACTTTTTGAGAGAGTTTTTCCGTTGTTTCCTTTCTTCATTGAAGTTGGTTTTCATGAGAGGAAGGAACAATGGAGAGACAGAACCTTCCTGCCGTCAGCGTTATCGTATGTTCCGGAAGGCGCAGGTGGGATCAGGCGCCAAGGCCAGAAAGCGCTATCGCTCCTTCTGCCTCACGCATTCTGAGAGCGTTTGAGCAAGTTTACTGCCCAGCCAAATGTCCAATTGCAGTTTGCAGTTTGCACTTTTCGACTTTGCCCCCAAAACCCCCCAGCAGCAATCGCGTTGCCTCTCCACCCCACGTCCGACTTTCTGCACGACACCTCACCTCGAGCTTGACTTTTGCTAGTGTGAGTGGCTTCATCTTCTCCCCATGTCTCGCTCGTTGGCTCCCGCCATCTGCTGAGCCCTGCAGCGCCGCTAGTAGGCCCGGCTGGCCTATGCGTCCTGTACCTTCTTACCGACCTTCGTACAACGGCCAAGTTCCATCTCGTAGCTGCAAATCACCTGCAAATGCATGGAAAAGACGACCAGGCCAGTCGAATTACTTGCTCGCAACAGGCACAAACGCAGTAGCGCTGATGAGCGGCCACCAGGTGGACCGCACGATGCACGCCCGATGTCCCTTCTCAGGGATCTGGCCCTTGCCAGCGCCGGGCTGATCATCACGAAAAAGAAGGTCGAGATGCCCTGCAACACGCGGCCAAGACAGCCTTCCCGGATTCACCCACGTCCCAGAATGCGGTGAACTTTCAGCTCGAACCCGCTGTACGCCCATCGTCGGACATGTCTGCCGAGTGCGACGAGACCTCTGCTTGTCGGACGTCACCAGAGACACGGTCGGTTTTCGTAACTCGCTGCCATCGCGCTCGTTGAAGGACTGTCGTTGGGTACCGAGAGAGTCTCGTCTGTTGGAACCGAATCTGCCAAGAAGGCCGACGACGCCTTCCGTCGACCCTGGCAGATTTTGAGAACATTTGCGAAGGCTCTCGGCCTCGAACGCTGCTCCAACGCGGCCTCACATGTTTTTGCATCGCTGGACGAGACCAACGAGGGTCGACATCCGATCTCGTCCACACAACACCGTACAGAGCCCCATTCAGCGGCGTCTCTCGGCCATTGGGAGGCCAGACGAGGGTTCCGCCACCCCGGCGCCGTGCATCTGCGCCTGCGGTCTGCATCTCCCGTCGGGGTTGCGTCGCATTAGATTGCAGCTCGCCTCGCCTCTCTATCGCGTGAAGCTCTTCCGTTGGTAGGCGCCTCATCGCTGGGCATCACCATCGCCGCCGCCAATCCCTCAGCGAGCGAAGTCCATCCGTCGTGTTCACTCTTGGCCTGCGTCCTGCATGTCTCTTGCTATGAAAAGAACATCGGTGAGATCAAGGTTCGGGCTAACGGTGGGGGGAAATGGCAGACAGGGTCCTGATGCATATTGATGCATATTCGATTTCTAGCGTCCAACTGGCAAATTTCGCGGGGTCACTTTCGCCCTTTCTCATCTCATCGCGCCCGCCGCCGATCGTACGGCCTGCTGCCGGGTGGTGCTACCACCGCCGAGCGCCCTGTTCGTTCTCCCCGGGCGAGCTCGGACGTGGATCCTGGCCTTTCGACGAGACATCCCGACTGACAAGTTTAATGAAGAATCTGACTCTTTTCTGCGCGCTGCAATATTTCTCTTACAAGTAATGGATCCCCAGGTCCTGAACTCCCGCCAACGCCGACCCTTGATTGAACATGAACCATTTTCTTCACCAGGCCTTAGAGCTCGGCCTTCGCCTTGTCGTCCGCCGACACATTCTGCAATGCGTACAGCTCCCTCGGCTGTCCCGACGCGTCGCAGCTGGCAAACTTCCACCAACCCCAGTGCCATGCGCCGGCGATATTGATGAGTCCCCACTTGATCGGCGCCGGCATGGGCGGCCAGTTCGCCCACAACCCGTCCTCCACCGTCCGGTCCAGGTTGAGCAGGAAGAACGGGACGACATCCGCCGTGCCGGCCTTGGTCACCGTGCTCTTGCCCCACGTCTTGAACGTCAAGCTCGCGTTCGCCGCCTCCGGTGTCCCCTCCTTCGGCGCATTCGGGTGCTCCGCTAGGCCGGCGATGGTGCTGATCTCGCTGTGGAAGTGGTTCTCGAACGGCTCCTGGAAGCCCTTCATGATGTCGAGGAGCTTGGCGCCGGAGAAGTCGGAGGGCGAGGACAATGACGAGAGGTAGGTGTTGAAGTCGGCGAGGCCACCAAGGAAAGATTCTGTACTTTGGTTAGTGATAACATCGGTCACTTGCTAATACCAGGCACGTACCATGCTCCTTGTGCGTCTCGGCAAAGACGTTCTTGTCATTCAACAGGTCCTCGACCTTTGTAAAGAGAGATTCCTCCTCGTCATCGTGGTGCGACTTGACAAACTTGAACCAGGCCTGGGAGTATCCCACAAAGTCTGCCTTGTCGGCCTCCTGGATCAATGGGGCTTGGTGGTAGATGGAGTTGTATCCACGGAGGATCGAGTTGTGCAGCAAGCACATGTGCGTCGCACCGGTCGTGAAGAGGTCGGTCTGTTCAGTGCTCTGTCAGTCGAAGCTTCTTCAGTGGGGCCAATGGCATCCAAATCTCCGGGACCGTGGCTAACCTTCTTGGTTACGTATTGCGGCGTGGGGATGAGCTTCATAGGCCCATCAGCCCATGGCTTCGTCGTCTGCGGTGTAGTGGTCATCATGAATGGTGATCTCGACAAGAGCAAGCTCATGAGGATGCTTGGGATCACAAGCAAGAGATATCCGGCCATTTTGAAAGATGCCAGACGGCCCGGAGTGCGGCGAGGGAGGGCGGTGGTATACGGCGACAAAAGTGGTACGATTCGGTGACGTCCTTGCCCCTTGGAGTGGTGTTGCGTGACAGAGGCAGAGCTGCACGTCTTCGGAGCTTGTTCCAGTGTTCCAGCGAGCTTCTGAGGAACCGTCGGGGGGTCGAGGAAAGTTGGCTGATTAAAAGGCATGTCCTCATTGGCCCGTGCAGCCATTGCTGGGGTGACTTGCAGGGAGCTCTGGCGCGGTTTCACCTGGGGAGCTCCCGCTAATGCCGCTGTGGGATCATGACATCCGACGGGATGGGGAGCCGAGACGGCTTCGATTGGACGGGCGGCCTGATGATTACGGAGCAATGGCACGTCGACCGGGGCTTTCGGACCTTGCAGACCTGCCGATGTCCGAAGAGCTTCGGGACGTCCCTGGAAGCCTGGGGAAGTCCAATGGAAGCTTGGCTCGATGGCCGGGGTGGTGGGTCTTGAACGGGAGTCTGCCTGGTGAAGATGATTCTTCAATCTGCATCTGGACCCCAAGCATTCATTTCCTGGTAGACAGCGTGTGGTGATCTTTTTCAGGGCTCATTTGATAACCTGGAATCCAAGGAAGGTCTGAGCAAGTACTCTGCAGAAAACGCAGGCCATAACTGATGAACCGCAGCAGTGAAGACGTCCGATAAACTAGTAGCTCTTGAGCATCTTAAACAACGACTGCAGACAACGCTACCCTTAATGTTTCATTGTAGACCTGCCAGATGCCGCCAACTGAGAAACAAAAGATCCAAGACCGAGCACGTCGCATTGTCGGGCTTTACGTTTGAATTGCCAAATCTGATGGTACGGACGAATCAGAGTGCGCCCCGACATGGCAGGCAGGCACCGGACGGTTTGCGTACTCCTTCCTGCCTGTTGTAAGTCAAACGCACCTCACCTCAACTCACCGCCAACGCAACCTAATCCAGAGCTATTCCTTCTCACAACCACAAGCAAATCGCCATCTGCACCAATTCCACCGAATCACCACAAACCCATCAAAACCACCATCGACCCCAAAAAAGCCCATCATGCCCGCCGAAGGAGTGTACTTCAGCCCCAGCGGCAAAAAGACCTTCATCCCCCTCGAAAACAACCCGGACGTCTTCACCCCGCTCATCCACGACCTAGGCATCTCCCCCGAACTCGGCTTCTACGACGTCTACTCCCTCGACGAACCGTCCCTCTTGTCCCTCATCCCGCGCCCCGCCCTCGCGCTCATATTCATCACGCCCTCGCCCATGTACCACCAGGTCCGCGCGCAGGACGGCACCCGCCTCGCGCACGACGGGGTCACCTATGCCGGCTCCGGCCCCGGCGAGCCCGTGACATGGTTCCGCCAGACGATCGGCAACGCGTGCGGGCTGTACGCTCTGATTCATGCAGTCGCCAACGGGGAGGCGCGGGAGTTTGTCACCCGGGGCAGTTTGATGGATCGGTTGTTGGAGAAGGCGGAGCCGTTGGGATGGGAGGAGAGGGCGGCGGTGTTGTACGAGAGCGAGGAGCTGGAGGAGGCGCATATGAAGGCGGCGAGAAGGGGGGATACGTATGTGCCGCCGGCGGAGGAGAAGCCGGGCTATCATTTTATTGCGTTTGTGAGGGGGAAGGATGGGCATTTGTGGGAGCTGGAGGGGGGCAGCGATGGGCCTGTGGATCGGGGGGTGTTGGGGGAGGGGGAGGATATGTTGAGCGAGGGGGCGTTGGAGAGGGGGGTGAAGCGGTTTATTGGGTTTGCGGATGGGAATTTGGAGTTTAGTGTTGTTGCGTTGGCGAAGAAGGAGGAGTGAAGTGGTGATGATGGAGGTAAGAGAGAACGGCCTGGCATGAAGAGGGTAACATATCAGGGCTTGCGTCAAACAAGTACGATCAAAGTCGCGAGTGTTTTTAGCAAGACAATATGATTAGGGACAAGTAGACCACAAGAAGTCGATTCGGTTGAGGAAAATCGAATATGTCTATATTCTGATATCAAAGACTACTCACCACTCACATCGCTGTGCCACAATTTCCTCGCCAGCTCAATCCTTCTTGTCCATCCAAGGCACACACGCCTCATAAATCCCCTTGAGATTCTCCCACTTGGTATACCTCTCAAACAACCCCTCGTCCACCGTCCTTAGCGACTGCAACCCTCCCGCAATGAAAAAGTCCGTCAAACTCGGCTCATCCCCGCCCACAAACGCCTTCCCGCCCCGAACCTCCTTTACCAACTCATCAAACTCCCGCAGCCCCTCCTGCGCCTTCTCCCACACACCCTCCTCTCCCGCCAGCACATCTTCCAGCGTCTTGCCCCCGAGCCCGGCCTCCCTGCTCCGGCGGAAGTACTCCGCCGCGCGGGGCGAGAGCATGCCCGGCTCGCGGGGCATCACCGACGCGAACGCAATCGGGCCCGCGACGTCGCGCAGCTTGGCGATGATCTCGGCGTCGCGGGGGGTGGACTGCGGCAGCGCCGGGGAAGGGTAGGTCTCTTCGAGGAACTTGGCGATGGGGAGCGAGTCCATGATGTGCGTGTCTGAGGGGACGTGGAGGATGGCGGGGACGGTGTACTTGTGCTTGCCCTGGGGGTACGGCGGGATGCCAAGGGATTGCAGGGTGGGCTCGATGTCGGGGAACTCGAGGAAGACGGTGCGGTAGGGGATGCGTTTGTAGTTGAGGACGAGGCGGATGCGCCAGACGGCGGGGGAGAAGCAGGTGTTTTTGGTGCAGGCGAGGTCGTAGAGGATGACCTCGGGGGTTGGTGGTGAAGCCATTTTGGAGTGTGTGTAAGTGAGGATGTCACGATGTTAGTGCGAAGGGTTTGCAGTGTAGGCTTTGAGGAAAAGGGATACTTAGCCTTGCTTATAAGCACACCGCGTCGCGTCAAATCCCGTCTGAATGCGGTGTGCGGTGCAGTAGTGCTGACATTGCGCTCGGTCGCAGACGAAAGGCGCATGTCGTCCGAAGTCCCCTGGTCACCTTCCTCACCTTACACCTGCCTAAACTGCATGCTCACCGAGATGTCAGTCCAGCACACCGAGGTGAGAGGTAGGTTCAAGGCAAGGTGAGGGGGGTGAGGGGTAACTTCCCAGTTGGTTCGCTTTGGCAGGGCGAGCTGTGCTCAGCCTTGAACCCCACCACCCGCACTGGCCAGCCACCCCGGCCGCTCCCACCCAATCAGGACCGGCCGCCGGTCCAACCATCGAAACAGCTAGAAGGCACTCGGGTGGTGAGCTTTTGGGCCTGTTCTGGGGCTCTGTTTTCTTTCTGCCTTTCGTCCCGCCTTGCCTGACTGAACCCCGCGGCCTGAAATCTTGGTCTTCTCCCTCTGCATCTTCTTCTCACCACGATTAGAAACCCTCACAAATACCCCCCTTTCGACGAACATACCCGCGACTGTAATTACAAGCTGCTGTTTTTTTGTTCTCTAATTTTCGAAACGTTCATTCCCAAGGCATAGCACGAAAACAAACACACATCAGCCATGGCTTCCGCAGACGAGCTCAAGGCTCTCGGCAACAAGGCCATTGCCGAGAAGAACTTTGACGAGGCTGTGTAAGTAACTCGGAGCATTCGACATGGGAGACGAAATTCAGAGCTGACAAGAAACTGTGCAGCGCCAAGTTCACCGAGGCCATCGCCCTCCAACCCGAGAACCACATCCTCTACAGCAACCGTTCGGCCGCTTACGCCTCCAAGAAGGACTGGCAAAAGGCGCTGGACGACGCGAACAAGACGACAGAGATCAAGCCCGACTGGCCCAAGGGCTGGGGACGCAAGGGAACCGCCTACTACGGCCTGGGCGACCTGCTCGCTGCCAACGACGCCTACGAGGAGGGACTCAAGGTCGACCCCAACAATGCCGGCCTGAAGAAGGATCTCGCCGCTGTGCAGAAGGCCATGAAGGCGGAAGCTGGTGGTGGTATGTTCTTACCTATATGACCTGCTACCTTTCGAGAAGCTAACGACAACAGACGCCGGAGACCCGGGTCTCGGCCTCGGCAACATGTTCAACGACCCCCAGCTCCTCCAGAAGCTCGCCGCGAACCCCAAGACGAGCTCGTTCCTCTCCGACCCCACCTTCATGGCCAAGCTCCAGCAGATGAAGGAGAACCCCAAGGCCTCCCCCGACCTTTTCAGCGACCCCCGCATGCTGCAGGTCCTCGGCGTCCTCATGGGCGTCGACATGCAGATGGGCATGCCCGACGACATGCCCGGCGCCTCCAAGGACACCGAGATGCCCGACGCCCCCGCTCCCCAGTCGAAGCCCGCTGCCCCCAAGAAGGCGCCCACCCCCGAGCCGGAACCCGAGCCCGAAGAGCTGGACGAGGAGGCCCTGGAGAAGAAGAAGGCCAAGGAGGCAGCCGACAAGGAGAAGGCCCTGGGCACCGAGAACTACAAGAAGCGCAACTTCGATCAGGCCATCGAGCACTACACCAAGGCCTGGGAGCTGCACAAGGACATCACCTACCTGAACAACCTGGGCGCCGCCTACTTTGAGAAGGGCGACTACGAGAAGGCCATCGAGGCGTGCACCAAGGCCGTCGAGGAGGGCCGCGCCATCTACGCCGACTTCAAGATGATCGCCAAGTCGTACGCCCGCATCGGCACCGCATACGAGAAGCAGGGCAACCTCGACCTCGCCATCGAGAACTACAAGAAGTCGCTCACCGAGCACCGCACGCCCGACGTCAACGCCAAGTTGCGCGCCGCGGAGCGCACCAAGACGGAGCAGTCGCGCCTCGCGTACATCGACCCGGCCAAGGCCGAGGAGGCGCGCGAGGAGGGAAACAAGAAGTTCAAGGAGAGCGACTGGCCGGGCGCGGTGGCGGCGTACAGCGAGATGATCAAGCGCGCGCCGGACGACCCGCGCGGCTACAGCAACCGCGCCGCGGCGTTCGTCAAGCTGCTCGAGTTCCCCAGCGCCGTCGAGGACTGCAACACGGCCATCAAGAAGGACGCGACCTTCATCCGCGCGTACATCCGCAAGGCACAGGCCTTCTTCGGCATGCGCGAGTACTCCAAGTGCGTCGACGCGTGCACCGAGGCGGCCAAGGTCGACCTCGAGCACCACAAGGGCGCCAACGCGCGCGAGATTGAGCAGCAGCAGCAGAAGGCGTTCAACGCCATGTACTCGGCGCGGGAGAACGAGACTGAGGACCAGACGCGGGAGCGGCTGGCCAAGGACCCCGAGGTGAGTAGCCGCCAGTCGAGATTTAAACTCCTTCCGTCTGTAACAAGGATACTAACGAGTTTTCGCACAGATCATGAGCATCATGCAGGACCCCATCATGCAGTCCATCCTCCAGCAGGCGCAGTCGGATCCGGCGGCGCTGACGGAGCACATGAAGAACCCCGAAATCAGGTCAAAGATCCAGAAGCTGGTGGCGGCGGGAGTGATCCGCGTCGGTCGGTAAGCCGGGGTGATTGGAAAGGGAGAGGCGTTTGTGGTGGGTGGGTGAGTGAGGGAAGACATGAGGTAAAATGGTCATGTGTAATGGTTGGACGATGAAATGCTTTGACACCAAAAAAAAAGTTTTTACTAGGTCATTCGTAATGGTTGCGAAATGTGACCCCGACAATGGTGATTTCCCCACGTGAGAGGCGCGACCCCGAAATGTCTCAAATGCCTGGCTGCATGACCGATCGCCTTGGATCTCAGAGAGCGTCCGTCGTCTGAGGTTCTTGAGGCAGCGCCGGCACTTGTCGGATTTTAAGACCAGGACCCATTCCGCCGCGCTTTTTCGTGGTCGGATGAGGTCCCGTAATTGTGCGCTCGTGTAAGTGTCACCCGCTTCACGATGACTGTCAGCGGGACGGCGCGAGGTGGTTTTCAGATGAGGAGAGATGGCGACTTATACAGGATGATTCTCTTTCCTTTGTTTCTCAATTTGGCTCTGTTTTGAATCTGGTCTCTCACATGAATCTATGCGACGCTCTTTTTTGTAACCGCAGCCATGGATTCCCACTCTCCCATGAAAGAAGGCAAGCGAAACTCCCCTACCTCCCCTCCTCTGCTGTACTGACGATGAAAAGCATACATCCAACTCATAGAAGTAATCGCCACATCGCCCCCGGACCCGCCGTCCCCAGCTCTCCACCTCATCGCCTCCCTCCCCTCCGTGCTCCGCTACGTCGACGAAGACAACCGCACCGTCCTGCACCACGCCGCCCGCCTCGGCCGCGCCGAGATCGTCCGCGCCGCCATCTCTACCGCCGGGCCCGACGCGATCGTCGACCCCCTCGACGCGGACAGATGCACGCCCCTGCACCTCGCGAGCCGAAATGGCCACCTCGAGGTCGTCACCACCCTCCTCGCCGCGGGCGCCGACGTCCGCGCGGAGGAGAGCTTCGACGAGACGCCGCTGCACGAGGCCGCGCGCAACGGGCACGCTGAGATCGCAAGGGTCCTGATCGCGGCTGGCGCGGTGGTGGACGCGCCGAATCGCGACTGCGGGACGGCGCTGCACGTTGGCGCGAGACGGGGCATGGAGGCGGTGGTTGAGGTGTTGCTGGAGGCCGGGGCGAATCCGGCGACGAGGGATGCGGTGGGGGATACGCCGCTGCATGACGCGGCGAGGGGCGGGCACGAGGGGGTTGTGATGGCGTTGTTGGAGACGGGGATGGTCTCCATCGAAGCGCAGAACGCGAACGATTTCACGCCCTTGAGCGTCGCGGCACGGCATGGGCGGGAGGCGATTGTGCGGATGCTGGTTGAGCAGGGGGCAGACGTGGACAGTCTGTCGAATGAGTATTGCACGCCGCTGCACCAGGCGGCGTCGGAGGGGCACGACGGGGTTGTGAGGATATTGATCGCGGCGGGCGCGGATGTGGATCTGCAGGACCGGGATGAGCAGACGGCGCTGCATGCGGGCGTGATGTTTGAGCACGCGGCGGTGGTGGCGAGTCTGTTGGCGGCGGAGGCGGATGTGAATTTGAGGGATACGGAGGACTGTACGCCGCTGCACCACGCGGTGAAGAACGAGAACAAGGCGATGGTGCGGGATCTGCTGGAGGCTGGGGCGGATCCGACGGTGATTAGCGCGACGGGGGAGACGCCGCAGAGTTTGGCGCGGGTGCTGAACCGGAATTCGATCGCGGATTTGTGTGAGGCGCCGCAGGTGAAGGTGAGGCAGGGGGTGGTGTCGAATTTCCGGCCGAAGCGGTGCAGGCCGCCGGGCAGGCCGAATCAGGAGGATGAGAGGGAGGCGTGCCGGCATTTTAAGGGGCTGTTTTGGTGTCCGACGAGCGAGGTGAGGTTTGAGGGGCTGAGTGTGTGGGATATGTTGTACGATCCGGAGACGGAGCTGCGGTTGACGCCGAGGATGCCGGCTGTGGTGGGGACGCCGAAGGGTGGTGGGGCGGCGACGCCGGTGCGCAGTCCCGGCGCGAGTCCGGTGCGCAGCCCTGCGGTGTCGCCGGGGGCCAGTCCGGCTGCGAGCCCGCCGCGGAGCCCGTTGCTTTCGCCCCCGGGAACGACTGCCGGGGGGTTGACGATGAAGGAGATGAAGAGGGGCCAGCAGCAGCGCCGGCGCAAGAGTTCGTACGCGAGCCGAATGCCGGAGAGGCCGGTGAAGAGGTGGCTGCACCTGCCTGCGAATAATGTGGCGTGGGTGATGGATCTGGTGCAGCGCGTGTGCGCGATGGATCATAGGACGGACGCGGAATGTAACCGGATCATGGCGTTTATTGAGGAGACGTTCCATGAGATGCGGACGGGGGAGTTCTACCGCCGGCCGCATTTTAAGATGGAGGCTGCTGCTGCTGCTGCCGAGGAGGCGGTGGGGCTGGGAGTTGGACCGCCGACGCCGCCCATCACGCAGCCGACAGCGACAACGCCTGGCGGGAGGATGTTCTCGATGGTGCTGCCCATAATCGACGTCGACATCGACGAGGGCACGAAAAACAGCCTCCGGAACGTGCAGATCGGGGACGAGGCGCGGCTGATGCGGCCCCTGGAGATGGTCGCCGGCAACGACAGACGCGTTGTAGTCCCGCAAGGAGCTGCCGGTGGTGGGACGCAGCGACGGCACCCCCTAACCGCGATGCCGACTAACCTCCAGCACTACCTCTTCCCGCACCTCGCGCACTTCGACGCCATGGCCAAACTGCGCGCGAGCTTCACCAAGTCGGAGTACCACGTCCCGCGGCCGCTGGACCAGTCCTACCACGAAGCCCTGAGCGCGGCGGACCTGGCGCTGCGCAACGAGAGCCAGGTGCTCTTCCGGTACCTGCGGCGGGTCGAGGGGCGGTTGGTCGCGGAACAACAGCAACAGCAGACGGCGGAGGAGGAGGTGTGTCCGCCGCCGCTGGTGGAGGACGCGCAGGGGCAGGGGAAGAGCCCGTTTGAGAGGCACGTGCAGCGGACGTTCTCGCGGCAGGCGAGCTCGAAGCAGAAGAAGACGGACGGGACGAAGGCGGAGCTGGGGAGGATGGCGGGGCGGCAGGACCAGGCGAGTAGTGTGCAGGCGAAGATTTCGCGGGAGAAGAGGAGGATGGATACGGAGAGGCGGAAGCAGATTTTGTGTGTGGCGCAGCTTTGGGTGTGGAGGATTGACGAGAGTGAGTTTGTTTTTCTGGAGGAACGAAAGTTTAGGAGGGAGAGGTTGTTTGCTGACGACGGAGCAGATACGATCATCACTGCGTTCCCTGATCGGTGGGATAACAAGAACGCCAAGACGCTTCTGAACGAGATCAAGCATCGCGTTTTGGGGATCAGGGATCTGAGGTCTGAGGACACGGATATGATGCGGATTGTGGAGAGTATCCTCGAAAGCGCGCTGGGATACAGCGAGGAAGAGTTTCACTTTCAGTTTGAGGGGCCGAAGAGTTATTGCACCGTGTTTGCGTCTTCAATTGCTCACGTTGTAAGTCATGATTCTATGGCTTCGATCTCACGGGTGCTAACGATGGCCAGTCAAATGAGGCAATGAAGCGCTACGCCGAGTTCAAGGCGTCCATCAAGAAGATGGGCACGTCCAAGACTGTGTTGGACGACCTAAGAGCCGAAATTGAGCTTCTCCAGGAGATTGACGACATCCGAGAAGAGATCAACATGATCAAGCGTGTGCTACGGTCTCAAGAGCGTGTGTATGAGGAGTTTAGGGGCTCGGAGATTGGGGAGAAGTGTGGGGACGGGAAGGATGCGGCGAGGAAGGCGTTCAAGCATCCGACCTTGGACTTCTTCAAGAGGTTGGAGGAGGATGCTAACCGTGTGCGAGACTCGGTAGGTTGGCACGATTTCTGAGTATGCACGAGTGCTGACAGTAAGCAGATCACGACATTATTGGATCTCAGGCAACGCGAGGCGAACATCGAAGAGGCTCTATCGGCCAGCGAGCAGTCCAAGATCCTCTTCATCTTCACCGGCGCCACCGTCGTTTTTGTAAATTGTACCACTCATGTAACATCTGACACGATCTGACAAAGTTTCACAGGCTCCCCTCTCGTGGGCAACCGGCATTTTCGAGGTTAGCATCGAAGGTCTGGCCAGCCCCACCACTGCAGGCACACTGATCATCGCATGTGGTACGTAACACCGGTGTCCGTCTCGCTTGCCATGCAACATCTAACGTGATACCCAGTGCTGAGTCTCTTCGGCACCCTGCTCCTCATCGCCTTGTCTCTCCAGATCTACGAGTTCATCACACAGGGCAAGGCGAAGCAGATGTACCAGAACGTGTGGAACTTCTTCGAGATTAGGAGGAAGGACAAGGCTGCTTCTAGCTCGAAGAGCTCTCCACCCTCATCATTGGATGCGTCAACACAATTGAGTAGGCAGAGGAGATCTTCGCTCTCGCAGCCCGTTGCTGCCACGGCTGTGAGTGAGAGAAAACCTATTCGAAAGAGGCTTGCGGCTTTGAGGCCGAGGCATCGGAGAAGAGACGAGGAGAAGGCCATCTCGGAGAAATGAATCTAATTTTCATCTCTGAGTAATGAGATCGAGGTCTTCATGTTGCAAGTTCCCCCTCATGCTAGTCTGCTGCCAACTGTCGATCGTGTTGATAATTATCCATCTTGTCTCTTATTGCTAGTTCATTCTCATCTTGATGTTTATCTCTCTTGTTGCATAAAAAAGATCAAGGAAGCAACGTGCATAGAGACATCATCCGAGGCCTGGAGGCTATTGCTGGTATCCCCGTAGCTGCAGCAATGCCGAGCTTACCCTGGTCGGAACGACTGGGGTTTAGATGCAAGAGAAAATAAGCCTTCGATACTACCTGGCCAATAATATACTGACGCCAAGTCTAAAGAATCAATCTAGTCTCGGGTGCCTGCGGGGATCTGTTTGCACTCAGGAACTTAGCAACCATCATCCTGAGTTGTGCCAGGCATCAACATCGACAACAAGACCACATTCGGTGTGTGAACATGTCCACTGAAGCTTGCATATCGCAGGGAGAAAACGCCGGTCCGACGTATGACCGGGATGCTATTGTTGGAAGCATCAACCGATACTATGAACTGCTTTCCAAGATGGTCTCAATCAGACCTGAACACATCGCTTACTCACCCGAAGGAGGCTGGGGCGACGACATCATCCCCCTCGAGAACCTGCGACGCCTCGGCTTCAACGACACGACGATTGACCTGGTCCGACATCTTCCGTATGTCACCAGCCGCAGGCCCATATTCCCGTCTACCCAGAGCATCAACTATTTCCGAAATATCCTTTGTGGGCCTGAAGAGAACTATCAACTCGAGGACCCCAATCTTGTCGGACTCTGGCCGTTGCCAGAGGGAAGAATCCCACAAGGCATAGTCCCACTGTCCCAACCACTGGGAGGAGACAGGCTGGGGATGTGGTGGTTGCTCGACACCAATACAGGTGGGTAGGCCGTCTGGTCGGGCTGAAAGTCCCTGTTATCTAATCCTTTTGCATCGCAGGCGAGCTCATTGCTCATGACGCATACATCTCGAGACCGGAGGAGGAGATCCCGGAAAACGAGCGATGGCGCACAGCGAGACCCATACCCGCCGTTGCCTATTTCGATGGGTTATGCGAGGACATGATCTCGCTGGAGATGTTTCCCGTGCCGTGGATTCCAACAGGAGCGAGTGGCAGATGTGGCAACCGAAGTGGATGCGAGCTCATCAGAAATGGATAGATGTGAGTATACCTACTCTGAGATAAATTATGCCGGAGAGTACACCCATATACTGATTTGACGCACAGGAGGCTCAGAAAATCTATCGGAAGTGCCGTTGGCCGAACTTGCAGAGATTCCAGCGTCAGAAATGCCGCAAGCTTCTGGTTGAGATGCAGGACAGGCTCACCGCCGAGGATAACGAGGAACGAGAGAAGAGAAGCGCGGATGCTTCGAAGACCTGGAGATAAGTAACATGTTTAACAACGGGTGTAGATGGGAACAGACGTTTGCAACACGTTTTGGACCCAGTGCCATAATGACCATGAATCGATCATCTCCAACGAGGGAAGTTTGAGTCGAGAGTCCCCGATGCCGTTGCAAATTATAATCCGTTTCTTCACGAAGCTTCCGATCCAAGATCTTCCCGTTTCGAAAATAAGGAATCATTACTTACGAGTCGTACTATTTGCTACAGCGTCAAGCCACTCGAAGTTGTTGTGTGGTACGAAATCATGCGGGGTACGACGGGCTGTAGAAGGAAACTGTAAGTATCAAAACCTGGGACTCCTATCAAACCATGCCACAGGTACGTGGACATACAGGCAGCTTTCCGGGCCAATTATCGCGCGATATCTCTCAGCCCACCTCACCAGGATCTTTTGCTCATCCTCATAAATAAGGTCAGCCTACCACATGGTGACCGGATAATAGTAATAGCTAGCAAATGATCACGAGCGAACAACAGAAACAGAAATGGATGAGGCGATGAGGATTACAGATACGACATAGCACCAGTGGCATTGGCATTATTTGCTACAATTCACGTCACACGCCACCTGTCACAACGGTGCTCAACTGAGAGTACACAAGGATCATTTGCTGGAAGGACTCCGCCCGTATCACCAATCGCTGCACGTCGCCTTTGGTGTTCAACGTAGCAGTCAACAGCCTTGGTGCTCAAGAGAAACTAAGAATGCCTACCCCTCCGTCGACTATTCAAACTCGAGCACCGGTTGCAAGTAAATCGAACTAACGCATGCCCTTTTTAGATTGCAGCACCCTTGCATGCGCCCACTTCATATTTCGAACCTCAATGCATCTGAAACCACATTCGTTCAGAAAGTCCCAAGCGTCATGGATTCCATCAATATCGTTGACAATCTCCCACGAAACCTGGACCGACCCTCGGGAAGCTGTCTACGGCGACAATCAACTGGGGACATCCAGCACCCAGATTCTGCAACCAGAGACTCTCCGCAGATACGAAGAGCGAGGTCTCTCTCTGCTCATCGAGACCCCCACTATAGAATGGATCAAGCGATTGTGAGGGAAAACGTGGGGGGTAGCCAACCTCTTTACGTCTTCGCCAGTGATTCATCCGAGGAGCAGCAAGAAACAACCCTCGCAGAGGAGGAAGTTGCGAGCTCCTCTCACGATGACATCGAAGATCGGAGACCACAGCTAGCCAAAGACGAGGCAAATTGGCGTCCATGGTGGCTTCAGCCTCTTATTCTCGGTGGCTTTGCTGGCCTCTTTCTCTCCGCAGCGATCGCGCTCGCTGGCATGGTGTGGTACTCTGAGACACATCATGGCCTATGCTCAACACGACGAGGACTGGAATACAACTGGCGATTTGGCCCAACTGCCGGTGAGCTGTCACTTTGAAACATTGAGTAGATACCTTGTGGTGTGGTCGTCTAATGCCTCTCATGTAGTTCTCACTATTGTGGCTGGTCTTTGGGCAAGAGTGAGCCTCCAGGCTGCCAGATACACGCCTTGGATGGAACTCCGTCGCAAAGGGGTCAATAATGGCCTTGAACTATCTCTCGACTACACATCGATGCTGTTTCCAATCGTCATCTTCCAATCATTACGCCGAAAGCATTATCTTGTGTTTTTGGTATTCATCGTCTCAATCCTTGTCTCCCTTCAAACAGTCCTGGCTCCAGGACTCTATCGGCTTGCAGAAGTTCCAGTCTGGCACGACAACAATATTCGAGTGCTCGATGCCTTCAACCTATCGACTTTTGAGAGAAGCTCGCAACTTACCAAGCCTATATACATCCCTGGCCATATTGTTCTTAGCACAGGGGCCGATTTAGACTCTAGCGCGTACTATATTCCTCGAGCTATCCACGACTTCAAGATGCTTACCCCTTTCGGCGTTGCAGAGAACGCTGCGTATCAGATTTTCGAGCCACGTGGAAGTGTTGGTGCCCCAGTAAAGCTTATCGTGGATGGGTTCGTCATGAATTTCCATTGCCTCAAGCTAGATAGTTATACAGTCACAAAGGCGCAGCTTCTGGAGAACCCCGATTCGAATATGACAAGTCGAGTTGGCTTCGACCTAAGTATTAACTTTGAGAATTGCAAGAACATATCGCATTCCATCGACCAATACTATAATGAAAACTCCGACGTGGAGAGTTTCACGGACTGGAATGTGGAATACCTCCCCGGCGGGAGTCGACGGTGTCCAAATCTCCCTGGACAAGCCAATCAACTCATCTACTATTCTAGTACTTTGGCGCTGGGCGTGAAGAATTCTTCTTATCCAAGGCTTGTTGGATTTGCAGCAATCGTTTGCTCAGAAACATCATGGATATCGCCGGTGGAAATTATCGACAATGGATCAAGGCCTATTCTCAACATTTTACCAAATCAATCTCAGATTCCATACAACGTCAGCATTTGGTCTGCGATCATGAAAAGCGTTCCGTTTCTCAATGTGAGATTCCAAGCACCCTTGTCTGGCCAAGCGAAATATGGGCCACTTGGAATATGGTTGCAGTTTCAAGATAAGAAAGAGCCGAGTGAAGATTTCTTGCTCAACACAACAGACGTCTTATACGATGCTATGATGGGAGTGACAAGTCGACTTGGCCCATACATTGCTCATTATCATTTTCGACAAACCAATATTTCTGTCATTCCTGGGCAGTTACGAAGGAATACCGAAAGATTGGCCGTCGTACTCCCGATTGGGGTTTCCATGCTTGTCATATTCACAGCCATGGCTTTAATCTCGTGTTTCGTTATGCTGCGATACAAGAACGATAGCTTAGTATGGCAACGAGATCCAGCAACTGCTCTCGGCGGCATCATGTTTCTTCGTCATCATGGTCCGGACCTGCATCATGAGGCCCCGCAGCCCAAACGCAATGTCGCACAGATAGACTGGGGATGCAGCCAGTTTGTACCAATTGTCCTGAGATCTTGGGCCCAGGTTGTATTCATGCTTGTGGTTCTTGGGGTTATCATCGCCCTTATCTGTACTCTTGAAAAGTCAAGAATCGAGGATGGCATTGCAGCAATAGAGGGACGGTGGTATCTTTTGTGGACTTCGCTCCCTACAACCATAATGTTGGGTGTTGCTTCCTACGTCACTTCCTATGACACTTCAACCAGGGCCTTACATACGCTGTATTCTCTCTCCACTGGACCTTGCACAGCAAAAGTCTCCGATACGGCGCCTTTGGATATGTCGCAGATACGGGCAATGTTCCACGTGATTCGACGAAGAACGGGGTCGATGATTCTGCTTCAAATTTCGGTTAACATGAGCATACTCTTAACGACCATCGCTTCCACTTTGCTGCAGGTTGAGCCTGTACCAAAGGGGACTCGTTTCGAGCTCACACAATTGAGCACCTTTAGCAACAGAACCATTGATTGGAAAAACATTGAAGACTATCGAGACAATAGAGCTAAGTTGGGAAGTATGCTACTACGGAGAGGAGAGGGAAACATCACCTATCCGCCAAACACTTATCTCGACCTCGCCTTCCCCGGCATCAGTAAGATTGAACCATCAATCGTGCAGACCGCTAAGGACGCTACGGTCGAGATTTCGCTGCCAGCAGCTAGTCTTCTGTCTATTTGTCAGGAGGCTGAGGTGGACATTGTATACACAACGGATCAGAACCGTAACGTCATCACACAGCCATTGAAGAACGACAACCGCGGAGTTACTATCGCGATTCCAGAGGACCAGGAACATGATGTCTCTTCCATCGTGAATATGGAATTCGCGTGCGAAGATGGGAGCCGCAGGCATACTACCCGGAAATTTCCGGCATGGAAGAGGCTTTTTGACCTAAAATGGTCTATAGATGCGGACACCGAATCCGTGTGTCAGCCAGAGGGACCCTCCGGACCCACTGACTCTGAACCAGCTTATTCAAAGACCCTACTCTTGACTTGGTCGAAGTGGGATTATACCGCAAAACGGTTTGCTTCCTTCCGTGCCTGGACATGTCACGACTCATGGACCCAGGTAATGGTGGCTGTTAAACTGATCATGGTAGATGGCGAGCTAGCCATCGATCACAATAACCCACCTCGCCCTGACAATCTAACCATGCGCCCTTGGTACCGCTCTTTGCCCCTGCCCTATCTCGACAATACTGAAGACGGGTCCTCGGGTATTCACGATCTTGGTACCGCCTATCCTCTCACTAGTTCTTCTATGAGACCAGAAGAAGCAGGAAATATGAGTAGACCCTTCAGTCTGGTGATGAAGCCTTATGGAGATATTCATTTGGAAGACTTTGGGAATCAAGAAATGGATGACAGAATACTCGAAGCACTCAATCGAAATCGTGCAATTCTTAGCGCTCAACTACTCAACGTTGAGAATCGACTCAGTCTAGAAGAGATCGCCATCCCAGGGTCACGATTCCCATTGGAGGCCGTTGTGGTCGACTACGAGGCTAAGCAGCTAACACAAAACACAGTCCCAACTTACACGCTTGTGGCAATTCTCAGTTTTATTTTCGCGGCTCACCTTATGATCGTTTGCTCCAAAGTCCTTCGACGTTTCTTTGGTTGGCGAAAGGGTCTTCTTGACTTGGATGTCAAGGGTTTGGCACCCGATGGCTTCAACAGCATTGCCATGACGACTGCCCTCCTTCAGTCTTCAAACGCAATACAACACATGCCATCACAACTTAATCTATCAAAAGGCGAGACGTATGAACAGCTACGAGGTCTTCGATTCCGCCTGGGCTGGTTTCGGA